ATTTTAAACTTTCGGCCTATTTTCGGCTGCGGCCGAAATAAAAAAAATTACTTTCGGTCGGTCTCTAATGAGAATAATGGTTTGTGAAGTGTAAATAATTAAACCCCTAGACAACGAAGCCATAGAACCTTAGGGTAGAGCCGGGTTCGTAACATTTGGGAGGTTCTTCGGGATAGGACTCTTTATTTAGAGAGGACTGCATCGTGTGGTTGTACGCCGATGGTCCTGTGACTTCTGTGAGCGTTTACTGCTGTACTGCATCTCAATTGAGTGGTTTTTACGATAGGCTGCTGGTCCTGCATGCTGCTGTATATGTGTGCTGCTGGTTCTGCATGCTGCTGTATCTTTGTGCTGCTGGTCCTGTACCCGTCTGTGTTCGTATTTTGCTGTCCTGCATCCCGATTGAGCAGGGTGTACGCTATCCTGTCGTGCCTGCATGCTGATGTGTTGTTCCCCGGTTTGACGGCAGGTCGCTGCCTGGCCTGTATCCTGCTAAGCCCGTAACCCATTGGCCCTGCATTCTGCATCCTGCAATCACTACATCCTGCTGTGCTTTAGCCCAGTGGCTTATATCCTGCTGGGCCCGTATTCCACTGTGACTGCATCCAAATGTTACTGTTTACTGCTGTGGCTGTACCCCGATTTGACATTGTACTCATGTCCGTTCAGTGACAATTGGCTCAAGAGATCCGTGATTGTCAAGTTAAAGACTTAAGTTACTTATTTTATTTGTCTTTTTTTTTTTATAGTTAGGTAAGATTTTGTTTCTATACATTGTTACGCACTTGCTTTTACAGTGAGAAAATAATCTCTTGTTTTAAGTTATGGCTCGTTCACACAGTGCACAACAAAGGACGATACCATAGTGAAATACATTAATAAAGTTACGACACGCAAAAACAGTTGCCAATTACAATTAATAAGATTTAATTTAGTAATAATACAATTACAAAACAAAAGAAATATAATTACAAATCATCAACTTACAAAGTATGGTAGATCTTGTACCGGTACACAGTACAATTTGCCAATTAATAATGTACAATGACGAATGTGAACCAACACATATGAGTACACAAAGAATAATAACATTTGTCTCGTAAAGTTAAAAATATCTATCTGAATCTCCGTCGATGAATCTCTGAATCCCCTTTTTCTATCTAAGCATCGGTAGAACCAACGCTTCTAGAAATGTCTTTATCTTTCTAGTCAATTATCGAAGTTTCCCCAAAATTCTATTAGAATTTATTACTTATTTTTAGTTGATAGTTGTGGAAAACAGCGGCTAGATGAAAGGACAAATGGGCCACGCCCAATGCAAACGCTGTCTCATGTGGGGTCAACCAGAGTGCATGCACGAGGAAAGTGGTGTAAACACGTTATACATAACAACATATATATAGATATATATACTTATTGTGTTATATAACATATTTAAATTTATTATTTGAGACTGTTGTTTTTACCCTACCCTGGTCGTTAAATTTATTGTATGGGAACCACGAGTGTAGAAAATACATTGATCTTAGAACTAAGGGAGTTTGGAGAGGACCTGGGTTATAAAGACGAGGCTCTTACTTAGGTGGGTGGACAGGGAACTGATAGAAAAAGATAGGCTAGAGCGGGAAGAGCGTGAAAAACATTATAGGCTAGAAAAGAAAAATGAGATAGACAAGCTAGAGAACGAGATAGACAGGATAGGTTGGAACGTGAAGAACGAGATAGACATGCTAGAGAATGAGATAGGCTAGATCGGGAAGATCGAGAAAGACAAATTTGGCTGGACTGGAACAGCTGGCCCAGGAGCTAGAACAGCTGGCCCAGGAGCTAGAACAGCTGGCCCAGGAGCTAGAACAGCTGGCCCAGGAGCTAGAACAGCTGGCCCAGGAGCTAGAACAGCTGGCCCAGGAGCTAGAACAGGCAGAGTTAAAGTTGCAGGAAAAACATAATATGCTGAGAGAGGAATTAAGTAGGAAACAAGTGGCTGAGGTTGAGAAATGCAAAAGAGAGAGAGAGAGAGAGAGACAGAGAGATGAGATTCGTGTGATTAAGGAAACCGGGAGGCAGTGGGTGATAGTTAAATAGAGTAAAATCACTTTTGAAAAAGAGTTTAAGGAACATATTAACGAAGTTGTGGAAGAACTTGGGTATCCTGAGGAATGAAATACTAATGAATCTGAGGACAGGGAGAACGATTTGATTACAGGGGCCATTAACGAGTTAAATTTAAATGACCATAGGGTTGACATTAAGGAGGCCAGGAATGTTTTAAATGTAGCTGAAAGTCAGGAGTCAGAAATTTTGCTAGCCAGGATGTAGAAAAACTGGGTGCTGCGTGTGAGAAAATTGACGCAGTGGTACTGAATGTAGGCGTAGCACAGTGTAGTCTTGAGGATTTTTCATTGGCCATCGAGACTGTATATATGACATTCGATAATGCACAGGAAATTGATTTGTATTGTGATGGTGTGCAGGCCGTAGATTGTATGGTACAACAAGTGGATGCTGAGGAAATACTAGATGGGACTGTTGATGACGTAAAAAGGTGTAGCTTTGGTAAAAGCACACGTTGAGGGTTTCAAATTTGAACAACAGGGTAATGTTGTTAGTGTACAAGAGATATCTGTTGATTTTTTACAGCTAGAGTATGTTGATTTGGTGCAAGAGGGAGGTGTTTATCATATTAAGAATTGGGCAAGTTACGGAGATCACGAAGTAGAGGTCGTGAGCTTGTCAAGGGGGGGGGGGCTAAAGTTCATCAAGGTGGTGGTCATTGGAGATCACCGTACATGGTGTTACGAGGGTAGTAGTCAAGTCAGTGAATTTTGTGTTGTGGGAGACACGGGTTACTCGAGGTTTGGGAACCGTGGGAACACTGAGATTATTATTAATCATGATTATGAACATTACTGTTTTTTCCCTGAGATCGGGGTAGGAGAGAAAATTTGTGCTGATGTTCATGTGTGTGATATATCTAATCATGAGAGCCAGGAGTGCTAAAATTTTAAGAACTATTATAGCTCCGTTTTTCGTTTGTTTGAGAAGGTGTGTGATTTCCATGTGTTGGGAGGTGAGGTTGTTGATGTTATTATAACTGATTTATTTCAAGAGAGCGGTCACTGCTCTGATTGTTTTAATTATTGCAATTTTGACGATTCTTATATTGTTTTATTTAAGAATTTAAATGTGAATTTTTTTGTATTTGTTTGTCGACAATTTAATAAAACAAGTGAGAATTGAGAGGGAAGAGTTATACTGCTGGAGAAATGTGCACGTTTTTTGTCAGGCGACTGACAGGCGCAATATCCAGCCCACTTTAATTATGAATATGGGACTGGACAATTAAGGGATGTCCACATGCCCATAGATGTTGATTTCCCTCCCCCCCCCCTCCTTTAACAGGCAGAGTTTATTTTGTGGTCAATTTCTGTGTGCGGGATAATGATTTTGTATAATTTGAAAGAGTATATAAAATCTAAATTTACAGAAGTTAAGGTTTAGCATTGAAGTTTTCACATTTAGGGTACAGTTTTGAAAAGATACTAGATCAGTTAAACATTTTTGCGTGGCAATGTGTTATAAGTTTGTTTGTAATACATGTCGCTTAATTTAAAATGTAATATTGCAATTGTTTGGTCTACATTTGGCACTTACTCTTGTTTATTATTTGATGTTTATTGAAAAATTTTGAGATAATTTGTGGGTGATATGAATCATTCAAATTAATGTCAAACGAAGTTGGGGAGGAATATTAAGGACTTGAATGTATATTGTTAGTGCGTGTTGTTTAGAGATTATGTGTGTTGTTTTATCTATTATTCTTAGTATCTTGTGACGTATTGTGTGAAAGGGGATGTGACGTATTATGTATTGTTGTTGAATAGTGTGGTCTTGTGAGTACAGAAATGGCAATTGAAGATGTAGCTTAGTCATGCAATAAAGATATTTAACATGAGAGGAATGGTTTGTGAGGTGTAAATAATTAAACCCCTAGACAACGTGGTCAAGCATTAATACAAATCAAGGCTATGCTCGAGAGGGTGTTGGTGGGGGAGAGATGGGTTGAAGAGGATTTTAAAAAAAAATCTTTTTTGTTTACGAAAGTCATTTTACAATCTGGTTTTCTAGTTTTAATTAAAATATAATAATTTATGGCGTAAGAATTACTTGGCTACATTCGTAAAGACGTTGTTGGTTCTAATAAGTGTTGTGATAAGCTCACTTGGGTCGGTTCCTACTCATTGACCGTGAAGTTAGGGTTCTGTTCCGTCGTTAGCAGGGCTCGGTCTGTTCGATTCAAAATCGGTTCGATTCCTATCTTTAGGTTAAAGGTCAAATATTGATTGAATTTGCAGCTTAATTGTTGTTTTTTCTAGAATGCGATGCTGGCATTTAACAATGGTCGGACGTAAGTATTGAGCCACCAATCGGCGCTACAAATCGATCATTTTGTGGAAATGGTGTTTGTAGCAGAGAGACGTTTAAAGTGTATTAAGTTAGGCTGGATGCGTTGAAGTCCATCTTGAAGTAGGTAACAGGTCAAGGCCAGTATGTTTATCTAAATAAAAGTTAATGTTTGGAATAGTACATTTATTGTAAACGAATACATCCATGGACTCAAATAACTGATCAGCCTATCAAACTGAAAGGATTTTTTAAAAAATCATCAATCAACCTATCAAACTGAATATTTAGTTGATCACATAGCAGCTTGTCCAACTGAAAGTTATTTTAACACTGAGCAGCCTATCAAAATGAAATTTTGGTCTATCACCGATAAACCTGTCCAATTGAAATTTTGTTTATCCATGCAGTGTAATTACCCACATTTGCTTGGGAAGATGTACATTTATATTACTAATAAACGCATACCTCGTGTAATTTTTGTTGGTTACACCTTAACCAATGTCTTACATTGCTGTCACCGCAAGCACTGGGATCAAGTCTAGAAGAAAACCAGGCAGCATCTATAATATAATTTATATTTTTTAATGAACAGAGCTTGCATCTCAAATGAACACACAATTTACTTAATTAACATCTTATCCATTATGTGAGTATACATTCTATGGGATAGTGGTCACTGATGGCTCGAGTACTGTTATTGTCAAGACCAAGAGCGGAATCGAATCTAAAGACTTTGGCAGATCCAACGATAACATCGATATTGCCATCAACGACAATTCTGTCGTAGGCGCAGTCCGTGGAAGTGGATGTGGTGGTATCGATGCTGTCGGAAATAAGACTCTGATACCGTGCTTCGTTGAACAGGGGTAGCGTTGCCCTCTCCTGACTGTTGAGGTAAGAACAGTCGGCGTTGTAGTCGCCCAAAGCGACGACTCCGGATGAGTTTGAGAAATACGTTTTAGCCGCTGTCATGGCGGCCGGAAGTGCCTGTGTTGTAAACCAGATGGAGAATATTATTGTTGTATTGTCTTCATATCGTAAGTTTTAAATACGAAATCTAAATACCATCCAATTGTTAAAGAAGGAGATAATTTTAAAGGGCTATTTAAGTGCTATTTAACTTCAATTTTGACGAAATGTTACATTTTATAGGTGAATAACTCCATTATTTAAACTATCATTGCATATTTGTTAACAGTGATGTCGACGTCTTTGTTGTCAAATTATGAAGAGTGATTCATAAATTAACTCACTATGGCGAAACTAGTATTATTCTAAGTCCATCATATCCTTAAAGGTGACGTCGTAGTCCTGATATTTAATCTGAAATTTGACGAAGCTAAATACTTTGTACATGGCTTTGAATAAATTAATCTTATTTTAACTTAAAGCAAACATTAATAAATTAAAATCTTATTCTGCTTTCACGTCTTATGCATTTCATTTATACACGTAGAACGCTATTCAAAATTTAGAATTTTCAAACTCTCCGACTTTTAAGTCTGAAAAAAGTCACACTACGGACACTACATTGATTCATTCGATCCAGCTCCACCCACCTGCAATTCTTCCAAAGCCATCTCCGGCTGTGTGTGTATTCCCAGGAGAACCACGTTCACAGCGCGTCCCTGAACAGACGACGCGTACTGAATCTCTATGGCGTACGGCTCCCGCTCGAAGACGTCGCTAACCGAATCATCGTACTGGAAACTGCCGAGGACGCGCACCGACGACTTCCTGTAGAAGTACACGTACTGCTCCTTGTAGGCAGACGTGCGACCTATGGGACCGCTGCTCACATAATCCCAGGATCTTGAACCCAGCAAGGTCTTCAGGTCATCGAGGGCCGAGTGGTCAACGTCGCGAACCTCCTGGACGAGCACGACGTCGAAGTGTTTCAGCACCTTCACGATGTACCCGCCCCATTCGTTCTGCTTGCTGTCACTGTAGTGCTGAATGTTGAAGGCGCCGACGGTGAGACAGTCAACGCGCAGGGTAAGAGAGATCGCGTAGATTGCCAGACAGCAGAATCGGAAAGCTAGTGACATCTTTTCCAAAGTGAATGTTTATCCTAAATGTTAGTTGCTTTTTTTTGCTAAGCTGCTGGTATTTATATGTGACGTCTTTCCCGCGACAGCACGTCAATTTACGCCTGCAGCTGAGCAATTATTTTATAGGTTTATTTATTATTATTTTGGATTCATTGGTTTCTCTTAAAGTGATTTTTTTTCAAACAAGTGCAATAGTCGATACAATATTTTATTCTGTGAACAACGACACTCTTACCATTGAGAAAAACACGTTGCCTTATATAGAGTTACCCCCAGAAAAAAAAAAACAGGTGTGAGACTAGGTGAGTGATATTGACCTTATTGCGTGCGTGCGCGACCCTTTAACAAAGAGAACATTCATTGCAACGTTTAGCAAGCATCTGTTGAACAGGTTTGTTAAACATTAAACATCTGAACAAGGAGTAAGTTGGTCCGACCAATGACAATATTGGGTGAGGTGGGCGCTTTTACCTTTATCAAACAATGAACATGGGGGGGGGGGAGGGGGGAGGGGAGGATGCCATCGTCAAGTACATCGTGACACACTAAACATGATTGATTGTTTCAAACAGTTTAGCCGTTGAAACATTTTTTACTACCGAATCTAGAATTAGCAGGGGTGTCGCCGGCTTGGTTTTTAGGGAGAATGGAAGTAAGCTTGCTTTCTTGCTGTCCTTATTATTTCGTACAATGTAATATATTACAGTAAACCACACAAAATTGCAACACATCTGTAAATGCTACAGTAATTAACAGTTAATTTTCATTAACATTATAGTGTGTTTAAAAAATCTTTATTTTAAAAAAAATGAAACTCGTATTCGAAAATAAAGAGCCTTATCCGTGTTCTATTTAATAATGCCGGTAAGCTAACGTAATTTAGTGCTAACGAGCGACAAGAGCGTAACTGTAAACTTATTTAAATATGTTATATACAAATTAAGCGCAACACGTAGACTTAAATTATGCCAGAAACAATCGAAATTCCAGACTTTAATTCCACCAAACTTTCTGACTTCAGAAGAAGGATTAAGTAAGAATTGCATTATAATTTAAAATTTTATAACACACTGCTTGTTGAAATACCCATAATTTTGTCATTCGAATATTTTATTGCCAATTATTAAAATTATGTTAAGCAGATAAAATTATGATTAGCAACAAAACATTGAACATTATATCGTCTCAATATTTAGTTCTAAAGCCGTTCTGATCTATATACGTTTGAAGTAACTGAAACACCATACACCCTTATTATTTTTTTTTTTCATGATTTAAGCAGCTGCTTAAGACTATGGAGGCCTGGTTAAAAACCTCTAGTATAGAGGAAATTTTTCTTCATCTAAAAACTTTCAGTCATCAAAAGACCTTGCCTAAAAAATCAAGTTCAAGTGTGGAACAGTTAAGGCTAGTCTGATCATGTCTTTGAGTTATACCTCAAGAAAGCAAGCATCGAATATTCTCTAAAGTGTGGGCCTAAATTTTTGAGATTGACCCCGACTCCGTGATTGACACTACTACGAAGGTTTAAAAAAAATTTCAACATCACATTTCAAATTATTGTATTTTAGGTACGGTGTTTGAATCAAACTTTATTATATATCATGGCATGGTACACACATTTAGATAATAAGGTTTTTTTTTTCGGAATAATGTTTTGTTTTTATAAGTTAGAAGGAACAGGAAGTTAATTAAGGTATGTCATGCGCAAGAGAGTAGAAGGACATACTTGAAAATGGAAGCATATGTTTGAAGATAGGCTCTTTGCCATGCATCTCATAGCATCGTGTTACTTATTCAATAGATCTGTGTGAAAGTCATATGTGAAGTAAATAGACAAAATCAGTTATAATTTCCTCCAATTTCTGAGATGTATTTCATGTAATGTAATTTATACCCCATAAAGTGTTGTGATGCTAAATACATGGACTCAGCCTCGTGCTTTGTGAATGTGGATCTTTAACACTACAACTATATATTTACAAGTAACATCATCACCAATGATCGTTACATATCTGTTGTGATGTCTCTTTTTTTTCTTGAATTTTATTCTGGTCAAAAAATGAATTCAGTAAGCACATGAAAGACTTTAATTATATTTGCTGAAATAGTGTTTGTCTATAATTTACTCTTAATATTTATAGCAAGTACCAGACATTTATAGACTGAAGTTATGGAAATAGGACACATTTTGACCATGGTTTTAGTGTATTCGAGCTCCATCTGATGACACTTAAATGTGGAGTTTTCCATGGCAGTACTGAGACTCAGTAACAGAACAATCTACATGAATTAGAGACGGTAAACCAATTTCTGCTGCTGTATGTTTCCAATTAAGTATTTTTAATTACTTTTCTTTTCTTAAGTTCATTTCCTTGCACTTGATTCATAACTATGATTATGTAAGAAATAACACAATTAAAGTGTTTAATATTTAATTTTCCAGTAAAGATGTTTTTATTTGTTAATTACTTCACTTCAAACTAGTATCTGAGATTTTGAAACGCCCTTCAATTCTTTAATTTTCCGCTTACAAAATCTGTCTTTTCAGCTAACTTTTAAGTTATTAGATTATAATATACAATTTCTTGTTTATGCAATAGTTTGATAACTGCAGAATTTGTAGTATAATTTGTATCTAAAACTTCATATAGATTTGATAGCCATTCAAGCTTAAAACTTAAAAGAGTATATTATATATTTGTTGCAAGGATTATGATTTTACATACACAGAAAGTACTTTTAGACACAATCACTAATGAAGATGGTATAATTTTTATTCTTTGTCGCAAAAAAGTATTATCCATATTAGCACCGCATCATTAATGATTAAATTTTGATTTTGTTAATTGTTCTTGAAATCGACATCAATCATCTTGTATGATATGATTACAATAAATCATTTATGTGATATCCTTAAAACTCAATGCGTTCTGTTTTAGATGGTTTGGCATCATCAATATAGTTTAAGTTAATTTATTTTTTCTTAGCAAGTGAAATGACATGTTACAAATTGTGTTTATTAAAATGAGCCAGTGAGGAGTTTATTGTTCTGAGTTTACAACTTTTTTTTTCTTTTTTTTTTCGTGGGGGTGTGGGGGATGGTGTTAACTTTCACCGTGAATTGGTTCAACATCAAGAGCTGACCCTGCATTTGAACTCCAGTTTGAAACAACCAAAGGGAACGAGGAAGTCATCAACCACCAGCTTCATTCACTTTTGATATAAAACTGAGTGCTCTGCAAGCTAAAACACAAATGATGATTCGACTCCCTGGTGGATCGTAGAGTCACCGTTGATGCCAATAATTCTACAGACAGGAGTAAAGAGAAATGCCAGAATACTGCTACTTGATTTTATTGTCACAGTGTTATAAACATATTTGATATAGTGGGTTTTTTTTGGTTTGTTTAGAGAATGAAAATATGTAAATCAACAGGCAAGGTGTTCTAAACATTTTCTAACTGATTTAAGAAATTAGTTTTAACTATGCTGAACAATTATAACGAGGTTTTCTATTACTTGATTAATGCATTGAAAATATAATAACTATTTAACTTTTCTGTGCTAATGAAATGGAATTTACAATTACAAACAAGGGCTGGAGTTCAATACATATGTAGCTATATTTTCCACTTCTTGGTACTCTTTATTTCTTTGAAATTCATGTACATACGCCTATCGAGTTCTTCATAGTGTGGTTTAGGTAAACGTTAATTATAATAATGTATTAATGATAATCGTTGTAATGTTATTATTTAAAAAAAAATGTTTTGTACAATTTATTGTCTGAAATCAACCAATAAACTAATTAATTAATTTTTTTATTAAAACAAATTGTAAAGAGTACTTATTATTGGCTTCTAAATCAATTTCATATGGTTTTTCTCTTATCTTTCATTTTTATAGGTGATTAAGAATGTTTTATATGTGATTAAAATGAATAATTAAACGATTTACTATTTTTATTTTGCTAATGTTATTTATTTGTGTAAATAATAACTTTATTTTGTACTTGTTTTATCAATGAATATTTGAAATTTGATATTATATGCCATGTGGATTATAAATGTGTGCTTTTATAAGGTCAAGACATCAGTTCCAAAGTAGTGGCTTTTTATTTCTAATGATATTGGTAAGTACCATCTTAATGCATTTGAACAAATCCCTTTAAAATACTGAAATGAATATCAATTCTACTTTATCATTGTTATAATTGCTCTAAATAAGACTAGTATATTTTATAAACAAGTCAGACATGTATTATAATGTTAAAGGTAAATCTTAACGATAGTCCAAAATTCATATGCTATATTTATTAATGTGTTATTTAGTCACGTTAATTTGATGTCGAAATCGCCTCAGGTATTATAGGTACCGTGAA